CCCAAAGGAGCAAAGTTTGAGCTAGTTGGTTACTCCGACTCAGATGATTATGCAGGATGCAAGGTTGAAAGGAAGAGCACCTCGGGCACTTGTCAACTATTGGGAAGATCATTTGTTTTATGGTCACCAAAGAAGCAAAATAGTGTTGCATTATCAATCACCAAAGCCGAATATATATCCGCCGGTAGTTGTGCATAAATTTTTTGGATGAAGGCCATGTTGAATGACTTTGGAATCAAATTCAAGAAAGTGCTATTGCTATGTGACAATGAGAGTGTTATCAAGCTCACCAACAATCCGGTTCAACATGCAAGAACAAAGCACAATGATGTCCGCCACCGTTTCATCAGAGATCATCAATAAAAAGGGGACATTTGCATTGAGAGTGTGGGCACCGAAGATCAACTAGCTGACACATTCACCAAGTCATTGGATGAGAAGAGGTTTTGCAAGCTAAGGTATGAGTTAAACATATTGGATTTCTTAAATATGTGTTGATGCACCCCCCCACTTATATGGCATGCCTCTCTTTCGAGCAATCCAAAGTAAAAGTTGATTGGCATGCATACATCCTTTACTAAGGGCTTGTTTAGTGCATCTAGTTATTCCTCATGTCTTATAGGCTCATTCATGAAAATCAAATGAATTTGATGCTTGTATGGTACCACTATTGCTTCTATGCTTGACTTGATCTAGTGGTAGCATATGACATGTTTGTGGGCTTGTGAACCTAGTGTTTGATCTAGAAAATGAGCTATAAGTGTTTAACCCAACATGGTACAAGATAACCCTTGAAATGAGGTGTGAAGAAGCTTGTCCTTGGATCAAACCGAGTTAAATATCTTTGGCAAGTGTTCTAGATTGAACCAAATTTAGGAAAATGATCCTCACCCCATTGATTCACATTTATAATCTTAACCTATCTAATATTGAACCTTTGTGGTCATTGATGACAAAGGGGGAGAAATTGCACAAAGATAAGGTTAAATATGACAAAGAGGGAGAACTTTGACAAAGGGAGAGTAATATGAAAGTAAGGGGATCAATTAAAATTTGAGCACACAAGTAGGGGAGCAAGCTCATAAACTTGATTGATACATTTAAATGTGCATGTCATATGTTTGCTTGCATGGCACAAGTTTTAAATTAAAATTCCATGCTTGTGTGATGTATGCTAGTTGTAGGTTTGAATGATGAAATGAAAAACAAGCATGCATAGGTTGAGCAACTAGACTTGTGTTTATATTGTGAAAACTAAACCCTTGCTTCTAATGTTTATCTCATGGGATATTCTAGTTTTTGTGTATGTCTAGTTACTAATGGTGCTAAGGATGGTATATTTGGTGCACTCCGATTGGTATCACGCTTCAAAGGTCCATCTCTTATTCCTTAGCACCATTTGGTAGACATTGCCCTCCAAATTCCAATCCATGCATATGTGCAAGTTTCAATCCAAACTCTTAGCACATATGTAGGGGGAGCTAATGCTACCAATTAGGGTTCATGAAACTTGTCCATATCTTTTTACACATGGTAAATATTCTTGGGCAAGCAACATGGATTCAAATGAATTTCAATTCATATCTTTGTAAAAGGGTTGTCATCAATTACCAAAAAAGGGGAGATTGAAAGCTCTAGTTTGATTTTGATGAATTGATGAAACCCTAAGTGCTAACCTAGTTTATCAAAGTGATCATGAGATAGGTAGCGCATTCCAAGTAATGGAGCAACTGGTGAAGATCATGATGATGGTGTGACCATGGTGATGATCAAGTGCTTGGACTTGGAAAAGAAGAAAGAGAAAAATAAAAAGTTCAAGGCAAATGTGAAACTTGATATGAGCTTTTTGATTTGGTGATCGAGACACTTAGCGAGTGTGATCACATTTAGGATAGATAGCCGTACTACTAAGAGGGGTGAAACTCATATCGAAATGCGGTTATCAAAGTGCCATAAGATTCTCTAACTTATTGCATTTGCATTTAGATTCTAGTGAGTGCTAACACCCTTGAAAATGTTTGTGAAAATATGCTAACACACGTGTACAAGGTGATACACTTGGTGGTTGGCACATCTGAGCAAGGGTGGAGAAGTTGGTGAAGTGGAGGAGTTGATTTTCACTAAAAATCAGTGACCGGACGCAGGTGGCGTTGTGACCGGACTTGGAGTGTCAGCATCCGGTCAAGTTTGGCGTGCTCGGGCAGTGACCGAACGCTGGGTCAACCTGTGACCTGACTCACCGAGGGTGCGTCTGGTCAGTGGTGACGTATGGTGACGCAAGCGCTGAGCTGAGGCAGTGAGGACCTGATGCATTGGCGCGTCTGGTCGTGGCGCACCTGACACGTCCGGTTGTAGTTTTGTCGCTCGAGGAACTCTCTAGAAGTGACCTGACGTCATTGAGCTAAAAAAGGATCGGACGCGTCCGGTCGTAGTTGGGTGGAGCGTGAGCTTTTGCTGATCTGACACGGGGCTGGCGCGTCCGATCTCTTGATCGGTGCGTCCGGTCCCTGTTTAACCGCACATGCGCTAGCAGCTAGCCATTGGCGATCAACGGCTCAGGTTTAAACGTGTGACACATGGCAGCGGATCAGCGACCGGACGCTGAAGGTGGTGTGTCCGGTCACTTTGACCGGCGCGTCGGAGGCGCCCCGAGAAGGCTGCGTGAGGAGCCCAGCGGCTCTATTCGTGGGGGCTCTCTATTTAAGCCCCACGGTCAGCTCAAGCTCACTCTCTTGGCCATTTTCATTGACATAGCAACCTTTTGAGCTTAGCCAAAGCCCTCCCACTCATCTTCATCATTGATTCATCATCTTTGTGAGATGGGAGTGAATCCAAGTACATTGCTTGAGTGATTGCATCTAGAGGCACTTGGTGTTCGTGTTTACAATGGGATTTGCTTGTTACTCTTGGTGGTTGCTGCCACCTAGATAGCTTGGAGCAGCGAGGATCATCAGCGGAGGTTGGTGAGTGTCTCCGGCTTCGATCGTGGTGATTGTGAGGGTTCTTGACCTTTCCTCGTGCGGAGAGCCAAAAGGTACTCTAGTGGATTGCTCGTGGCTTGTGTGATCCTCATCTTGTGTTGGTTGTGTGGCACCCTATTGAGGGTTTGGCGTGTGATGCCAATCCACGCGTGAACCTCCAAGTAAGTGAATCGCCACAACGAGGACTAACTTGTCGGCAAGCAAGTGAACCTCGGTAATAATCTTGTGTCATCTTATCCCAAGGATTTCTTGATTGATTGTGATTGATTGGCTCCATCATATTGTGATTGGCTCTATCCTCATCACTGACGGTATAATTATCACATCCTCTCTCTTGCATTTACATTTCTAGTGTTGCTTCGCTCTTTAGTGTAGTTAGTCTTGAGAGCAAGCTTGTGTCGGGTCTAGTGGTTTGAGGCTCTTTAGTTAGTCTTTGAGAGCTCACTAACTTAGCGAGTGACACACGACCTTGGCGTGCTTAGAGATCATAGTCACTATAATAGTGTTAGGTGACTTGCATTTCACTCTCACGCCTCGCCGCGACTTTGTGCAAGAAGGCGGTGAGAGAGAGGTAAAGGCGGGCTTGGGCCTTGGCAAGGCCAGCCATGGCGGTAGCGGTGGATGGTGGTGCGACTGTTGTGTAGGCAAGGCCACGGGGTTCTCTCCATTCTAGTCAAGGGCTTAGGCGAGTCCGGGGGTTCAAGAGGAGCGGCGTCGTGACCAATTCATGCGGCGGAGTCCGCTCGGCGATGAGGCTCACGGTGGAGGCAGAGGCGAAGGCATGGCCCGGTGAACGACAACTAGGTGGGGTCATGGGTCTTGACGAGGCGCACATCGGTGCGCCAGTCACGGCGAGGCGCTCGGCTCATCCCCGCCCTGCGAGGCGCAGGCGGCAGCAGTGGGAACAGCTCCGCACAACGGTGCCCATGCTTGTGCACCGGTCATTGCAGCGGGTCTTGGGGTTCTAAGGGGCTCTGTGGCGGCCGTGTAGTGCCGAGTGGTGCGTCGTGGCGGTAGGCGGAGCCCGTCGGGGAGCTAGAGATCTCTCTTGTGCTGGTGGGACCGGAATAGTGGCCCGCCGCAGCGGTACCATGTCCATGCACGCGCGCACGTGCGGTGGTGTTCCAGCGCCTCGGCAATGGACCGATACAACAGATATCTCTATCTCTTCTCTATATTAAAAAGATTCTAAAGTCATCATCTACTCAGTGATACCAAATACCTTGCTCACACGTCCCCGTCTGATACGAATCATACTGAACTTAGCTCACACGTTCGTGTCCTACCCGGTACATCCGTGTCCGACTACTAGGGGTGAAAACGGTACGGATTTTTTCCAACCGTATTCGAGACCAAATCCGTTTAGAGGGGTTCAGATCTGTTCATATCTAAGTTCGGATATTCAACATCCGACACCGTGTCCGTATCCGAATACTCAAATTGCATATTTATATTCGAATCCGAATCCAGACAGAAATATGAAAACAAATGTAGTATCAGTGTTATCTGTCAATTCAAAAATTAAGACTTCGGTGCAGGGCACGAGCATGTATCTAGTGAATAGAAAAAAATACCTATCAAATATGAATGGATTGATATAAACAAACAACCCGCCCAAGTCTTCTTGCTCTTCTTGAGGCGCAAATGTTTCTTGCAATTTCCGTGATTTTCAGTTCCATACAGCAGATACAGTCGGCAGAAAATTTGCGTGCGCAATAATAATATCCTAGTTGAACAATACATATATTCATACATCGTCTTCAGCTCAGTCTTAAAATTTCAGCTTAAATAGCTGAAATACATGTTGAGATCTACTTATCTTAGTCATCTTGATGCCTTCATCACATCATGGCTTCTCGTCTGGCCTTCCACATGAGCCAGTTAAACGTCTCGCCAAATTTTGAGGGCTCGCAGTTTTATTTGGAGCATGAATGCAGCTTCCTCGTTCACCACACCGAGAAATTTCCAATCATTGTTTCCTCCCAAGTCTTGAGTCAAAAATTATGCCATCCCGAAGTGCTAAACGTCAGACGAACGGTTCGCGTACTCTTGAACCAATGCTCCAAAGAGAGATGGCCTCTCGATCAGATTTGCAGGCCGGTCAAACTCCTTCGCTAGTCCTGGTACCAAAATGATTCAGATTTTAGATTGACAGTGGGATTTGGAAGCTTGAGCTCGAGTTCTCAAAATACCAATACTATTGCTAGGAAACTTTAAGTTCAGTGTATGAATGTCGTATTAAGGTGAACAAAGTGTCAAGTTCTATGTGGTTACCTGCATCTATAACCAGGACCCTGTCGCAGTCCATCACCGTTGGTATTCTGTGCGCAATGCTGATAATGGTACAAGCTGCAAAGTCTTCCCGGATGATCTTCTGAATCACAGCATCGGTCTGGGAATCAACGGATGCAGTGGCCTCGTCCATGAACAGTATTCTGCTGCGCTTTAGCATCACCCGGCCAAGGCATAGCAGTTGCCGTTGTCCAACACTCCAGTTCTCACCATTGTCGACAACTAGGTGGACAAAAGACAAATTATGTTCATTGTCAGTATATAGCTGCAACAAATGTTTTAAGAACTCTTTTGGCTCAATGGTATTACAAGGAAAAACTAAGCCTCTTCAATTATGTTCCTGCAAGTTACAGACATATAGTACTATTAAATCACTATTTTATACACGTTTAATGTGGAGAACCTGGATTCTTGAAGTCAGAACAATATGTAGAGTTGAAGGGTATAGGAAAATGAAGTTTCATATTATTTCCACAGCATATTAAACAATTAAGTTAATAGTTAAAATACCTGAAGCATCAAGCTTTTCGGTTTTGAAGCCACGGCTTCTTTCAACTGACAACGGTCCAAAGCCTAAAAGGGAAATACGTTTAGCTTCTAATGAGATGGCAGAGAAAAATAATCAGATAAAAACAGGCTTACTGGTGAAATATATACCTGCCAGATTTCATCATCAGAATACTGCTCAAGTGGATCAATATTGCTCCTAATGGTCCCTTCAAAGAGAACAGGTTCCTGAGGGATGATACCAAACCGTGACCTAAGGTCATGGAGTCCTAAAGTGCAGATGTCAACACCGTCGATGATTATTCTCCCCTCAGAAGGCTCCACTATTCTGAACAATGCCTGGATCAGTGTTGATTTCCCACTACCAGTTCTACCGACAACTCCAATCTTCTCTCCTCCATGTATGCTTATCGTGATGCCCTTCAACACTAGAGGAGTGTTGTGCCTATACCTAAACTGCAGAAGCACAGAGACAAACTCTTGTTACTTGATGCTTTCAGTTGTCAATGCTCAAATTTTTTCACCACTGCACCATATTGAATAAACTAAAGAATATACTGTATCAGACTATCAGTTGGGAAATCTACCTTAAGATCAATGACATCGATGTCACCTTTTGTTGGCCAGTTAGAATCTGGTAGGCAGTCCTTGATCCTCCATGCGGCCTCTGAAGGAATATTTGTGAATTGCTTTATCCTCTCAACTGAGACCATCTTGTTTTCAATGAAGCAACTGATCCAGATGGCCCAGAACAACACCTGGTTGAGAGATAGACCATATGATAGTGATAGACCAACATATTCTGCACCATGAGAAGGGTTTTTAGAGTTTGAAAAATTAGAGAACATCCCAGTATTTCCATACAAAGTTCATGATGGCAAAAGGCAATCAGTTGTTAGAAGTTCCACCTGACTTGACGATGCTGCTTGGCAATGTGACCATGAGAACAGCTGTGAAGCAGAGAACAAAGCTTCCAATGAGCTCGAGCCGGAAACCAAGCCACTCGTTGGCACCATTGTTGTGGAAGTCCATCCTCAGGCTTGAGTTCACCCGGTTCAGGTTCTCCTGCAAGAAGCTGTCCTCCTTCCTGAAACACCTGATGGTCATGACACCTTGAACTGTCTCAGAGAAGTGGTGGATCACTGGAGTTTTGGTGATCGACTCGAGGCGCAGTCAGCTCCTCGATGTCGACAAGTAGTAGCCCTGGTGTAAATCATATCAGATTGTCAAAACACGGAGCAAGTGCACAAAGGACAAGCATCAGAGATAGTAATTGCCATTGCCATGGTGGAAGCACAAACTCACCCGGTACCAGATGTTCAGTATCACCAGAGGGATGATGGCGATGACGGACGGCCACGCCACTTGACACGTGACGATAAGCACACTGATCACGGTGATGTACATGGACACGCTCATCCAGACGAAGAACGGCAGGAAGAGATCAACGTTCGTCTGATCTGACGACGCCTGCGCAACAACATAAGCTATGTCAGCACCAAGAGCTACATCAAACAAAGGATGATGCCTCAGCATCGTCGTACCCTGCTGAGGATCCTGCCTGATGGCGTGGTGTCGAAGAAGGACATGGGCGCGTGCAGGATGCTGTTGAGGATCTGCTTGAAGAACCGGTCCGCCGTCTGGAGGCCAATGATGGCCACGAGGAAGGAGCGAGCCGCGACGAGCACCACCGAGACGGCGGCGATGATGGCGTACACGTTGATGAACAGCGACGGCTGGAACGAGGTTGCGTTCTCCTCGGAGGTCTGGTCGGCGAGCCAGTAGTCGCTGGCCATCAGAGAGCCCTGCCACACCACGGAGACAGCCACCACCACAAGCGGCCCCCACCACCCCCAGGCCTCCGTCATGTACTGCTTGTACACGGTGAAGCTGACGTGCCCGCTAGCGCGCTCCTCGTCCTTGATCAGCCGCGCCGACGCCTTCTCGGCCTTGGGCGCCACGATGGAGGACGAGGACGAGTCGCCGTTGGACGCCCTGCCCGCAGCGGTCTTGTTCGACGGCTGCCGGGAGAGGGGCAGCTCGCGCTCGCTCGCCGGCGCCGCGCTCTCCACGAGCTCCATGGAGCTGTCGTGCGCTGCGACCAGTGCCGCGAAGTCGGTGCCGGCCTGGAGGAGCTCATTGTACTTGCCGGATTGTACGATCATTCCGTCCTTCATCACCTGGAAGCATTTGCGGTGGGTTCAGCACGAGTCGAGAACTTTAAAATCAATAGATCACAGCTACTACTGTAAATACTACTAGTAAAACACAATGCACTTACATATATGATATCAGCATTGTGCAAGAAATCAACTTGGTGTGTCACGAGCACTATGGTCTTGTTCTTCAGAGCACCTCTAACACATTCCTGCTCAAACAAACAAAAGGATCAGTCTGTTGCTGTTCGTTCCATTAGGAATCTGAATAGAAACTCGATCAAAAGTTCAGCTTCAGTGATGCATGGAGTACCTTGAAGATCTCAGTGCCCGTGTGCGCATCGACCGCACTGAATACATCGTCGAGGAGGTATATATCGCAGTCCTGGTAAACGGCACGTGCGAGCTGTATGCGTTGCTTCTGCCCGCCGCTAAGGTTGATGCCACGCTCCCCGATCTCCGTTTGGTCGCCGAATTCCATCATCTCGAGGTCCTTCTCCAGGCAGCACACCCTGATGACCTCCTTATACCTCTCCCGGTGCATGGGCTTCCCAAACAGGATGTTTTCCTCAATGGTGCCGTTCTGGATCCATGCCGTCTGTGCCACATATGCCGTGCTGCCGCAAACCTTTACCTGCAATTATCATTGCATTTTCTCATAAGCAACATTCTGTAGTAGGTTCTAACTGAAACCCTTTACAGTAATCTTTCATAATATAGGACTCGCGCATTTAGCCAGACACAAACATGACACTCAGTTAAAATTTTATTTATTCTTTTCTCATAATAAAGACTCTACTGGGAAGCCAGCAGGGTGCTGCAGAAATGTAGCAATCTAGCAGATCCAAGTTCTACTATTCCCTTGTCCGTCAAATACTGAAATGAATGTACAAACCTTCAGTTGAGATTTATCTATGCAGAGCAATGATGCAGGGCACTAAAGCTTTGTACTGTTAGTAGGCACTCCAAGATCATATCCATTGATCTCATGGACATAAATGGCTGGCTAGCAATTCTACTTAGACACCCAAATCCAAAAGGAAGCTGGAGTTGATATCCAAGTCAGATTCTAATATCCGGAAACATGGGTGCATCTCATTCTCCAGCGAAAACAGTCTGAATGTTGGAAGCGATACAAACTCGTCAGTAAAACGTAGTTAGATCTAAGACTCTTTTAAGAAAATCAAACTCTGTAGAAATAGAACACTACATCAGGTAATGTTCTACGTTCAGGCAAAATTTTCAAGTTCAAACTCAATAATGTCCAGGTCATGAGTTACTAGTAAATTAATTTCCTTTTCGAAACGGGACACCCAAATTGGAACCACATATTGGCGCCCATATTGGTGTCCAGTGCTGGGGGTAGGGATGGAAACGAATCGGATACGGACGGATATCACTGATATTGCATTTGTTTTCATATTTCTGCCCGGATTCGGATTCGAATACAGATAGTGTCAATCATACCGGATATGATACGATTGGATATCAACATCATAAATATGCGATTTGAGTATTCGGATATGGATACGGTATCGAATGTTGAATATCCGGACTCGGATACGGACGGATCTAAACCCCTCTAAACGGATTCGGTCTCGAAAACAGTCGGAAAATATCCGTACCGTTTTCATCCCTAGTGCTGGGTATCCAATCCAATAGACCAATACACGTACTCCTACACAAGACGATAACAACTGTTCACTATCAAACGCACACCAGCGCATGCAGCACCACAGCATTCAGTTCTGATTTTCAGGCTGTTCGTTTGACTATGACTTATCGTAAATGATTGTAAATTTTCAGCCGGAACAGTATTTTTCTCTCACACAAACCAGCTATCAGTGTTTCTTTATGAACCAGCAATGATATGAACCAGCCGACCGAACAGGCTGCTTGTGAGCAGACCTCTGAAAAACACTAAAAGAAAAAGAATTATCGCTGCAAGGTAGTAATATCTGCTGACAGGACAGAGCAGCGATTCCCTGCTGACAATCTCCTCTTTTAAAAAAAAAAGATTTCAGGCACGGCTACTGCTGCAACCTCGTGGTGTCGCGGGAAAGTTGATGCCCTGAATGTGCAGGCTGACTTTCATCTGCGTGCGCGGACAAACGCAGATAGCCTTTTGTTTTGGACACCTAATAAAAGGTCGAATCCACACTAGTAGAGGAGTAGTCTCCTGGACTAGAACGTGATAGCCTTTTGTTTTGGGACATGCTAGTATACAAGTATGGTTAACCTATATCTCTGTTTGTTTTGGACACCTAAGATTAAGATTGATACGGGCTAAAGTTTAGTCGCGTGTCACGTCAGGACTTTCATCGGACGTTACGAATGCTAACTAGAAGAACTAAACATAAGCTAATTATAAAACTAATTACGAAGTAGACTAATTAGCAAGACGAATCTATTAATCCTAATTAATTCATAATTAACAAATATTTACTGTAGCACGCATTGTCGGATCATTGAATAATTAGACTTTCGTCTAGTAAATTAACCTTAATCTGTGTAATTAATTTTATAATTAGTTTATGTTTAATACTCATAATTAGTATCAAAGATTCGATATGACAGGGCTAAACTTTTGTCCGAGAAAAACAAACACAACCTAATATGTGGAGCACCATACGGTCTCCGGCGCAAACACAAGAATCGAATTGCAGCCACAGACGGCCAATGATAACGACAGAACGTTTGGTTTGGTTGGTGTTCTCCACCTGAGACTCAGAAATCTTGTATTGTGCTCCTTTCGTCTACAAAAGAATGCAAATCTCACGTTTCGAAAAGTCAAATAATTTCAACTTTAACTAAAATTGTATAAAAATATACTAACACTCATCAGACAAAATAAGTATTATTAGATTACTTATAGAATATATTTTCATAATAAATTTATTTCGAGACAAATATTAATCCTATTTACTATAAGCTTGGTCAAAGTTGGACTGGCATGTTTCTCATAATTATATTCTTTTCTGGACAGAGGCAGAATAAGAAGGGCGGCCCACTTTTTGCAGTTTTGCTAGACGCGATGTGGCCTTGGATCTCGATCAATTCTCTTGCCCTGGCTTGTGTGACGTGCGCCGTGTCGTATCTACTGGGCAGATTGCTGTTATCATCACTCGAAATAATCTTTGCATGATTGCAGGCTTTTCCATATTATAAATAAAATTATGCCAAGTATATGTAATTAGGAAGCATTTCAATTCTGTCAAAGCGAAGTAGTAAGCATCATGTTAGTAGCTTTCAAGAAAAGCTGTCTTTTGGACTCCTTTTTTTTCTAAAAAAAAAAGTAAACATCATGGAGTGGTTTCCGCCCGAGCTGGAACTCCTCAAATTTCCAAGCGGTAATCGATCGTTTATTTGAGTAATCATCGCCTTGGATGAAAGAAATATCAAGTTGCAGCTGCTCGCCGGCTTCTACTCCGTGACTGATAAGGGCATTTTCAATAGTGTCTTAAGGGCTAGCTTATAGAATATTTTATTCAATAAAAAGATGAGATGAGAGAATGACAAGCTAGCTCTTCATGAAAAGCTAAATTTATAGGATTCGTATGTCTATGCTTACACATTTTTCTATACTGACATGTCCGGTTATTCTATTTTTTCAAATTCATAGTATGAGCTAGCAAGTTAACTCTATTATCGAGGGTGCCTGAAAAAACATGGATGGACACGATCTACCTTTACGTTGGAACATAAAGTATTTATTATATTGTTATTGTAGGGCTCGGTTGTACTTCTGTCCCAAAATACTAATCTCCGTCCAAAAAGAATGCAATTTTAGATGTACTCTTAGTTAAAGTGTTTAAAATTTGACCAATTATATAGATAAACTATCAATGTTTACGATGCCAAATAAGTATATTCTGAAGATATATTTCATGGCAAATCTAATCACACTTATTTGATATAAATATTGATGCTTTTTATATGTAGTTATTAATCAAACTTAAGATACTTTAACTTGGTATTGTGTTGAATTAAATATAAAATAATGTCGTAAATTATATAGTAGCTACCGTAACTCAAAGTGGTAATACTAACATATTAAATAAAGAGAGATAGAGCGAGAGATATTTTGCAAAAAACTTAAATAATTTTAAATTTGATTAAATATTATATAAAAATACTAACATATGAGTATCATTAAATTAATTAGGGAATATATTTTTTATAGCAAACTTAATATTTTTATAAATTTGGTTAAACATAAAAGATTTTTTGACTCTGTTACAAACTTAATTGCATTCTTTTTTACTCCTAAAAAATTGCATTTTTTTTACTCCTAAACCGGAGGGAGTATATATCTTACGAGTACTCATATGCTCACCGTACCATAGCACATATACTCATTCCATCCCAAATTATAAGTCATTCCAAAAATCTTAGAGAGTCAAACTATCTCAAGTTTGATAAAATTTATATGATAAGATAATAATATTTATGGTGCCAGCTAAGTATCATTAGATTCTTCATTAATTATATTAATTATATTTTTATAGTATACATATTTGATGTTAAAAATCTTTGTAATTCTTTTTCTATAATTTTGGTTAAAGTTAAGATGCATTGACTCTTTAATATTCTTGGAATGACTTAGGCAGTCCAAATGGTGTATCGATGATGGTTTTTATCCTCATTAAATGACTTGTCACGTAGGCAAAACGCTGATATGGCAACGTAATTAATGAAGAAAGAGAGCAAAAATCATAGAAATGGTTTCCTCATGAAGAAATCAGGTCTACTCTTGACCCAATGCATCAAGAAACTATGAAATCGTCATTGGGGAGAAACCACCAGTTTCTTAGGAGCTCATGTCGCACTCCCATTGGAGAAAGAAGATAGAGTTGGGAAAGAGAAAGAGAAAATAATTATTACTCATAGAAACCATGGGTTGAAAAAACAGATACTTTTTTGTGCGGTATCCTATATTATAGAAACTACTAGTTTCTTTTTCTTTGGGACTGCCTTTATAATTTAGAAAAGAGAGAGTATTTATATGCACGTGCGTCTATAAATATTAGAGGAGAAGATGGACCCATATCTTGTGATTATATTGTAGGAGTACGTGTACCGGTGTCCTTGGTCAGACAAAGTAAGACAAGGTATCGAATAAACAAAGTTATCGTCTGCTTTGCTTTTCTCGCAGGTCACGGGGATGGCCGGGACCCAGCTTCACTTCACGAGGGTGACCCAAAAAACTGGAACGCCGGACCCCTACGCCCTGTCTAGTTCGACTCCAAAATCCTAAATTTTTCAAGATTTTCTATCACATCGAATCTTTGACGCATACATAAAAGTATTAAATATAAATAAAAATAAAACTAATTACACGGTTTTAGACGAAATTCACGAGACGAATCTTTTAAGCCTAATACTAATTGCCAAATAACAACAACAAAAACTGCTACAGTATCATTTTGCCAAATTTTTGGCATCCAAACGGTGCCCTAGCTAGACTGTCTGTGCCACCCTACGATTCTAGTAGCTGTTCAGTGAGTACGTACTGTAATGATCACTCGCTGAAAAACAGGTTAGGCCCATTCAAAAAAATTTGCACGGACCTGTCGTATCGAATCTTGTGATACATACATGAAGTTAGGTGAGAAATCGCGAGACAAAACTTTTGAACCTAATTAATCTATAATTATACACTAATTACTAAATACAAACGAAAGTACTGCCAGATCTAATAGGGGGCCTTACCATTAATCAATGCCTACGTGGTGCATTGATTTATTTTCGAGTTGGTGGAGTATCATTTTTCTGTCTTTATTACCCATCATTATTCTAGTAGCTGTATCTTCACTTCTTCAGTGAGTACGTACACTAGTGAGTATCATTTGTTTTCATCATTCATGCACTAGAAATAAGGAGATGCAGATGCGTGCGTACCTTGCCGGAGAACTTGCGCATCTCGCCGAGGATGCAGCCGAGCAACGACGACTTGCCGGAGCCAACCATGCCCACCACTGCCGCCAGCGCGCCCGTCCGGATGTCCAGGTCGATGCCGCGCAGCACCTCCTGCCCGGCGTCCACCTCGTCGTCCCACGCGAACACGCCGTCCTTCACCTGCACGGCCATGCCGCCGTCGCAGCCGGACGCCGCGGCGGGCTCCCTCTCCACGGCGCCCTCGTCAAGCTCCGCGCTAGTCATGTACCTGCGTTGTACACGTAGCAATTAAGGATTGGAAATAACGCATTCAATATTCACGCAATTAAAGCCGTGTGGATGATGGATTACGAGTCAAGTCGCTGCAGCGAGATCATCGCCTGCGACGCCTGGATCATCGCCTGCGGGAAGTTCCGCATGGGCTCCTGCAGGATCTTGAAGAAGGACGTTGCGGTGAAGACGAGGCCAGCGTCGAGGCGCACCCCGCCGGTGAGCACGCAGGTGGCGAAGACGAGCGCGGAGACGACGACGGGGGCGCTCCAGAGCGCGATGATGTTGCCCGAGATGGAGTACATGAAGCGGGAGAGCCAGCCGAACTCGCGGTGGCGGAAGCGGCCGATGCGCGCGTTGAAGTGCTCCTCCCACGCCTGGAACTTGATGACGCGCATGTAGTTGAGCATCTCGTTCGTCGCCTTCATCCGCTGGTCGCGCTCCTTCATCAGCGAGAACTGGTACCGGTTGTTGCGCCGGGTGCCCAGGAGCACGAACACCATCACGCCCGCGACGCCGATCAGAGCCGACGTCACCGGAGGCCCGAGGTACGTGTACAGCAGGCCCAGCGCAACGCCAACCTGCATGCACCGCCGACAAAAACACATCGATCACCATGCAAGCATCTTCAAAATAAAAACATCAACGACGAGTGCACGATCCACAAAAACATCAGGCGGTAAACGTGCAGAATATAGAACTCCGTGATTAACGGGCAGTTCTAGAAGAGGGCCAAGGCATCAACAACGGTGGAGACGTGGCCACCAACTCCCATCTAGCTAGGTCGACGACGACTCGCAAGTTAACAATATAATGTCGTCTGCGATCAGAGCAAACCTATATATATGGCTCCTCGGTCAAAGTTCATAACGCGTGTACGTATATCATCAATATTTAACCTTCAAACACAATCTTTAACACAATTATAATACAAATTTAGATTTATAATCAAATATAACTACCCAAGAACCACCAGAGATAATATAATACGAGATACATTTATGATTCAGTGTAAATTACGAGACTGTCATATCAAACAATATTTTATATGAAAACTAGACGAGAGAGAGAGAGAGAGAATATAAACTACATACGGAGTACTCCTATACCAACTAATATGGACGCAGCACTAAAATAGACAAGGTCAAATTGGTCCTGACCCTGGCTCTGCTCCTAACGATACAGTACTTGCGGGCTGGGGGCCGCGCGCCGCGACGTCGCACGAACGCCAGCCACATTTGAGTGACATCTACCATGACGATACCACACTTCTTTTCCCTCTTTCCTAGGACTAGGAGATACTCTTAGATTTCTTTTTTTTTTTGCCTGTTCGCTCGGAGAAATTCTGGAGGAATTTGGATGGTTTGGAAAAATGCTGGATGAATTTGTGAGAGAAAAACATTGTTTCGAATAAAAAAAGAAGCGGATCAAGCCAGGTTTAAGAGCACGTGAACGGTTTATCCCCATGCTTGCACTACGACAAGACAATGCTTTGGAAGGACAGCTCGTTTGCTCAAATCAAATTAACATTTGGGGGTTGCTGTTTGATATTCGGGAGTATATATACTCGTATATCTCTTTCATTCCTTTGCATCCAGAGGTTTTCTTCGACGCAATCGTCACCTCAACTCCTCTCCAACTCCAATTCTGGTAATATTGGTTTCCCTCTCCTTCATCTCCACCAAGATTGGACTTCTCTGGCGGATTTGCAACTTGTGAGGGGAGCGTAAGAGGTGGTTGATGACTTGCATTAATGGGTAGACCAACGAAGGTTGACGAGTGGGGGAGAGAACAAGAGCAATTGAAACTCGCTTCGACTGGTTAGCGTAGCAGAATTTCACCTCTAGAAGAGAACAAAGAGCAAAATGCCGAAGCGTGCAGTGCAGCAAGACCTAAAAACAAAAGGAAAACCCATGCTGCCCTGATGCTCAAGCGTGCACTGCAGGCAGAACGAGCAACTCCTATGCCGCAGCTGCTGCGCTGCATACAAAGGTCTGATAAGGAAACTGTCATGCACCAGCGGCCTTGTTTAGATTGGGGTTAGGAATCGTATTTAAAGATGATGTAGTATTTTCGTTTGTATTTGATAATTATTGTCCAATCATGGTCTAACTAGGCTCAAAAAATTCGTCTCGTAATTTACAATCAAACTATATAATTAATTATTTTTTTATCTACGTTTAATACTTCATACATATATTCAAAGATTTGATACGATAAAAAAAAAGTAAAAAAACTTGCAACCTAAACCAGGCCTAGCACTAGCAGCTGCATGCACTACCCCTTTTGTTGCACTGCGCCGTCTGAACTCTGAAGGCATCATGCATGCACAGTTGCACATGTGACAAGTATCGATGCCTGCTAGCTGTACCTCGGTCCTTTGTCAGGAATCAGGGACAAACAAAAGCCGCACGGATTCCAATACGTGCGGTGCAGGGTCCACACGGCACCCAATACGCCAACCACATGAGATGACTTGGCTGAGAAAGGGTGGTGCGGTGAACTCGTGACTGGTGTGGAGGAAGGAAACGTGGAATCACAGCGGCCTACTATCTGTACCATCTTTTAGTGTGGACGATTCTGCATCCCCGAAGTGTTGTACAATCATCGGTCATGCATGGCGAGTGAGATGGCTCATCAGGAGGAAAAGCAAAACAGATAGATGAGCAACGGCTGTTGCGGATCCGCAGCGTCCAGGCTAGGATCGATCTTCGGCGCTGTTCCGTGTGCTGCAGCTGTAGCTAAAACTATCAGAACTGGCAGCTGGCGTGTTCATGCTGCTTTGTTCCTTGGTACCCATAATTAGTAACGGAATTGGGCACCCGCACCGTGCCTTGTAGTATCCAATCCATCGGCACTTGGCATCAGATACACGAAACAAACAAGAAAGAGTACGTATTTGTGCACAGCGGCAGTTGCCAAATGCCAACACGAGTTTTACAATGCACAGCTCGCGCAGGTCCCCATCTATACTCCGTAGGTAGCAGCGCACGGTCCTGACAAAAGAAACGAGAGAAACGAAGCGTTCCCTTCCCATAGGAGGCAATGGCCAATGGTGCAACGACAGCGTGCCGGCTGGAGCCCGGAGCTAGAACTGCTTCTAGTCTAGCACATGCAGAATCGAAGAGGTATGTATGTACCTGGAGCGGCATGAGCCAGAGGTAGTGGATCTGCAGCATCATGTCGGACAGCTGCTGCGCGTCGACGGCCATGTAGTTGACGATCATGCCGAGGCCGTGCTTCTGGCGCGCGGAGCACGAGAGGCGGAGCCCCTTGCGGTAGAGCGCCACGATGAGGGCGCCCCGGATCTGCATCCCCAGCTTCTGGCAGTGGAAGTTGTACTGGTGGCTGCACAGCGCCTCCGCGCACTTGGCCGCCAGCAGCGTCGCCACCAGCCGCGCGCCCTCCCCGAGCGGCCGCTGCCCGGCACCCGCCGACGTGAAGTCCACGAAGCTCTGGATCAGCGTCGGCCCCACGTACATGACGGTGAGGCGGAGCAGCGCCAGCGACGCGTTCAGCAGGAACTGCGCCCAGAAGGTGCGGAACAGCGTGTGCCGGACCGGGTTGTTGTCCTTGGACGCCCACGACGACGGCCAGTGCAGGGTGAAGAGCTCGTGCATGCGCTCGGGCCGGTGGGACGGCGCCAGCGTCGGCACGTCCGACAGCTCCAGCGCCGACCGGTACCCGCGCTGCACCAGCGGGTTCATCCACGCCCACGTCGCGCGCGACGCCCACGACGCCGTCGCGTACGGGGTCACGTTCGCCTTGCTGTTGCTGTCGGTGGTGGTGGTGGTGGTCTCCTCGTCCGCCGCCGCGGCCCCGGTGGCGTCGTCGCTGACCGCCGCCACGGCTACGACGCCCGTGGACCCGAGGATGGAGAGGAGCGGGAGGGGAAGGGACAGGACCAGCGCCGCGATGGCCAGCGCGTCGTCCGGGAGCCTAGCCGCGCCCGACGCGAGGCGCGCGACGGAGGTGCCGGCGAGGAGCGCCGTCAGCGCGGGCGCCGCCAGCCAGTAGAGGCGCAGGGTCAGCGGGTGCGCTGCCGCGCGGAACCGCTTCTCGTGCGCGACGACGGCCGCGGCGGCCAGGTGCGCCGCGCACTGCAGCGCCAGGAACACCACCTCCAGGGCCTCGCCGCCCCTGTTGACCAGGGAAAGGACGAGCAGCACGGCGTAGAACGCGGCGAGGACACCGGACGCAGCCAGCGCGACGACGAACCCGGCGCCGACCCGAACAACCACGGCCCGCCCCCGGTCCCCGTGGACCCCGTCCCTGTCCAGCAGCGGCTGCTTGTCTTCGCCGTTGAGGGCATGGCGTCGTCGCCGTGTGGAGATGAGTTTGGCGGCGCCGAGGCAGAGCAGCGCGACGAGGAAGACCGCGGACGCGGCGGAGAGGAGCATCCGCTGCGAGCACGTGGAGAGGAAGAGGAAGGCGGCCCATTCCCCTAGCCTCGCGGCGGGTGCGGAGGGGAGGTCGCAGGCGTCCGTGGTGAGCCACCACGGCGGCGGCGACGCGAGGGCCATGCGGCGGCCGGCAGGGGTCTGGTGGTCAGGGTCGGCGGCGCATGCAGAGGCTGATGAGGATGGAGTGTGTGGCTCGGCTGCGTGCCAGACGAGACGAGAAGCGAGAGGAGGGGAGGAGACGCAGAGTCAGTCAGGGAAGCTTCTGATTGTTTGGTTGCGGACCAGCGGTGTGAACGAGAGAGACGACGGGCAGGGCAGGGGCAGGGGCAGCCCAGCTGAAATAGAAAGGGGGCGATGGCCAATAGCGGCTGGCTTTACTTATGTGTGGTGTGGTGTGGTTCTGTGGCTGGTTCCACAATCCACAGCATCGCTATTCCGTGGATCCTTGCTGAGAACCATGCGCTTGTCTCGGCCGTGCCGTGCTACAGCGGGCGGCAAACGGCGCGGTCAACATGACGTTTGCAGTCGTCTGCCTGCCGTGCCGTCTTACGAAACACCATATGGCACCCACATATTCCATCCTAATCTTCGCGTCGCCAGAGTATGCATCACAACACAACCTCTGCCAAAAAAAAATCACAAAGGTATTCGCTCCTCTCAAGACACTTGACTGCAAAGGGCATGCCCTTACCATTTAAAGTCAAATCATTCCTTACTTTCTTTCGATCCCAAATACTCTCTTTGTTTTAAATTGTAAGATATTTTGTTTTTTCTAGACTTATAACTTTTGCTAGACATCTATATATCATGTCTAGATTCACAGTAAAAGCTATGAATCTAAAAATGTCAAAACGTCTTATAATTTAGAACAGGTGGAATAATACTCTAAGTGATGATTTAGGTAGCCATAATACGATCATTTTAATCTCATGTGTCACAGATTGATTTGAGTACAACTTGATTGCAGTTTACAACTCAGGATCCAACGCTTAAGTTGTAGTTGTTGGATAGTAAAGCACACAAATACATGAGATGGTTTATATGCAAGGTTATATTTGAGTTGTACTACTCAAATAGCTGTATATGAATCGAAGCACTTTCCTACTAATAATCTTCTATCCTTTCCGATTGTTTACTTGTTTTCATAGTACTACTAGGATAGGATTCATAGCAGAGGTCGTCGATTGCCAAGCTACTCATCCCACAAAGAATATCATTCCCACTTTCCCACGAGTCAATTATTTTTAACTTTAACAAAAATATATAAAAAAATTTAGATAAATCATGAAATATATTTTTTATAATAAATTTATTTAGTAATAAAAATATTGCTAATATTTTATATAGAATAGTTAAATTTGAAAAAAATTGATCGTCACGCATCACATAGCTTTTTGGGATGGAGGAAGTCACGCATCACATAGCTTTTTGGGATGGAAGAAGTATGTTATGAGATGAGAGCATACGCGTGCACACTTTCCACTATATATGAAGGCACCCAAGCACACCCTACCTTATGAGCACCACAGACGCCTCGCTGTCAACAGACACGACGCCTAACAATAGAGCTAATACGTTCTTGAATAAATCCAAAAAATGCTAGCACTCGTGTCATCGAAGATAGAAATGGGGCAAAAAGGAGTTTGGCAAAAAGGACCCTGTTGCTTATAGGAGGAATAAGAAAGGGGTAAAAAGGATATTTCATCGCTCTTCTCTCAGCTCCGGAGTTAGAAATGAATATTTTAATGTCTTCGGTGTCCTCCAGTAAATTTGGCAACAACAAAAGTATCCACCAGCAAATCACTTATTTTTTATGTCCACCGATAAAGGGAGATCACTTTCATCGTCCAGAGCAAATTTTGCCTAATTCAAAATAGAGTGGGTACTAGGGATGTAATCTATGAATAACATGCTGAAGGTGCAGTGATTCTGTGTCTTTTCTGGTCACACGAGACTGACAGATCCCTTGAGACTTTTGTTGAGCGGGACATGGGATGTGATCTATCTAATGAACAACATTCCCGCTGTATCATGAGGGATACATATACGTCACTGGGCAACTGCTGCCGGCTGGGCTGGCTGCTCTTCCTCACAAGTTACTGTAGCCGACACCTAGGGCCAGCCAGCCGCAACAGCTGAGACCCAGCAGCCGAACACGGCGGCCAGATCGCCTCGCCGACCCTTACCTTACGCAGTTACTAGTTACTACGCCGCTGATCTGAAAATTCCACTAGTAATTCCCTGTGTGGGCCAACAATTACTACTGTCGAGAGCTACAGGCCGTCAGGCAGCTCTCGGTCAATTAATTACAGAGACCTCATCAACACAAAAATATCGCTCCGCTTGCTGGGCCTCGTTCACTTTATAAATTTTTTTAACTCGATAAATAGTACCACTTTCGTCTTATTTAACAAATATTGTCCAATCGTGGACCAACTAGGCTCAAAAGATTCATCTCGTGATTTCCAACTAAACTGTGTAATTAGTTATTTTTTTTATCTACATTTAATACTCTATGCAAGCGGCTAAAAATTGATGTGATGGAGAGAGAATTGAAAAACTTAGAATTTGGATGGCATCTAAACAAGGCCCTGCTGTATTTTCCAGGGTCAATCCACGTTGGATTGCCTTGCCCAGCTCCGAGGTTGTAATGGAGATCTCCCACGGGCCATGGCCGCCTGCCTCTTTATTAACCTCGGACAGTCAAAAGATGCTGCTCGATCCATCTCCCGACGATACACACCGAACAACCCCGTCAACAGTACTGTAGTAGTGTAGGCAGGGCATCAACGTCTCCAATAATAAAGGCAACACCGAACCCCTTGCGAAGCACGTGACGGTGATTTGGCTTCATTTTCTGGCCTGCTACTAGAGGAAGACAACGATGAGACAGAGAGAGTGAGATCGTCCTGGCCTCTCATTCCCCCTCACAATTGCAAGGGCCATTAGGGAAAACCAAAAGCCCCCTCATACGTGTATGTATCATGAGGGATGCAAGTGGTTGCACTGATAACTGAGATACTAGTTCAGCTGTTTCGAAGGGTCTCTAATTCCTTTCAAAATGACTCTAATTCCTAGTTGTAATAAAGAATTACGTACGCTGTAGTTAGGAGCTGTGTTTTCCTCTCTATCTATCCGTAGATAAAGTTTCGCTCTGGCTCATTATCTAGATATTGTAGCATGGAGTTGGTTGTGATGGAGACAATGATCTAGTAGAAGCAAAGCAAAACTACTTGCATCTCAACGGACAAACAGAGATACTTGTACTAGGACGACTGTGGTTGCATTGGATGGTCACAAGTAGCTCTTCACGGGATCCCCCCAGGCCGATCCGACGTCAACATACTAATAATTCCCTGTAAAGCATGTAGGGACTATAGTACTTGTCAAACACGTAGGTGGAATGGCTACTGAATAAATAACATAATAACATCTTAATCAGCTATACAGTAAACCACGGCCGGGCCAGACTTGTCAATGGCTTGGAGTGGAGGCCAAGCAGAGCTGGATTGACTCGCACTCGCGACCTGCGGCGGCTAGTGAGCGCCAGCAAAATTGTCCGGCATGGACGAACAAGAGGCGCCGCAAGGAGTGGACGGCCAATCATGTCCCCGCCAGCCTGCGTGTGCGTCCGACCGCCGTCGTCTATCTACGATTACACGTAGGTTATGCGCACGTGGACGCGAGAGAAGGCGGTGCAAGTTTTTCTTCCCGAATCACACAGCCCACTTGCATGTACGCAGCCGCAGCTCCTCAACTCTATCCTGGGGGGAACGCGTCGTAGCTCGGACTCGGACGGTATTCGCTCCAGTGGAGGAGCAGCTGGTCGTCAGTTAAGCCTTGCCCGACTCACGTTTCCTGTCGGGTTTTTTCCCCAATATTTTTCGGCATATCATATGCTTGGTATAGATAGACTACAACTGTCATATCTCTTAGCCGTGTTCTTCAGAACCTAGATATAGGTTGTAAGTCTGTGTGTGCATATGGTGTAAGTTCAAATACTATGACTTGTATTCAAAGGTCGAGGCAATAAAAAAACTGAGCTATCCTGTAGCTTTGAGCTCGGAGCCGATCGCTACTGCCACCGCCTCTGCCAGCCCTCCCTGCCCTGTACCTCCACTCTCGTGTAGATGGAAACGGTAGCCCCGTTCGTTTGGCTGAAATTGGCTGAAAAAACAAACCAAAGCTGAAATGTTGTAAGAGAAAAACACTGTTTCGTCTGAAAAAAGAAGCCGAATAAGTTAACTTTTAAGGTAAGGCGAACGGGGCCGGTGGTTTCTTTTACTGTTGGACACTGAACAGGAAAATTCAGTCAACATTTATTATATTCAGGCATGCTAAACAATAACCGAGTGTTTTAGCCGTCCCCAACAATCGATTTCGCTCGCCTGCACCCGCGCGCGCTCGCCTACGCCCTTCTTCCCCAACTCTGGTGGCCGACGCTAGCCCCACCCCCTTCTTCTCCAGCTCCGTCCAATTTGTCTCTGGCGGTGGTGGGTTCCGGCGGCCCCGGCGCCGACGAGCTAGGCGGCCTCCTCATCCTCCTCCTCCTGGATTTGTGCCCACCGGAGATGAAGACGACGGCGGCGGTGGCTAGGGTTTTGGCGAGCCTCTCCTCCTCTTTCTTCTCCAACTCCGGCGGCTATAGAAGGGGTCGCCCGGGGGAGGGAGGCAGGCTAGGCGGTTTTAGGGCCCTGGCGGTGGTAGCGGCGACTGCAGTGGCGAAGCTAGAGCAAATTAGAGGGGTGTGCACATAGCTTGTGGGTGCATAAATATTTTCCATGGAGGGTGTATATATGGTGAAATTTTAGACCTAATCACTGTTTTTACAACGGGCGACCGGGCTTGGTTGGGGCAGGGGAGCACGGCCATTTGCCGGAGTTGGAGAAGAAAGCAGTGGCGGGAGGCAAGAGGAGGGGAAGAGGGAGGCCACCGTGGCGCGGTAGGGCTTGGCCAAAGCTTCGCAGCAGCGAAGACGGAGCTCCGGTCAAGCCCTACCGCGCCGCAGCGGGATAGTGGGGAAGAGGAAGAAGATGAATAGTAGTAGGACCTGGGATTCCATCAGAGCCGTTCAAGTCCGATCCGGCGTTTAAAAAGAATTCGAGTGCGGAGAGACCCTC